GAGAGAGAGAGAGAGAGAGAGAGAGAGAGAGAGAGAGAGAGAGAGAGAGAGCATTTTCATGAGCATGTGAGTGTTCATGTGTCCAAAACTCACATGGGTTGTCCAGGTCGAAGATAAGGAAGAAAAGCAGATGAGCCAGCAGTGTGCCCACCGGGACCCTGAAAGGGGAAAGGTTAAATGATTGTTAAAGATTGTAAACAGTTCTAAATTATGTAAAAAACTACAAACTACTGAAAATTATGGTAAATTACTGTAAACACATATGAGAATGATTCTAAATAATTGTGTTACAGGGGTGTTAGTCCAACAGAAACCCCCTTGGGGAGCAGGTCTTGGTTGCTGTAAGGCAGACACTGCCACTAACTGAATTTTTACAGGGGGGGGGGGGAGGCGGCAAACTTCAAGGATCATGATAACCCTACATCCCCCTCCCCCTCTCACTAGACAAAAGGATCTATATCAAACCGCTTTTTTGCTTGGTTGTTTGAGTAGCGAGCAGCACACTGACATGATAATGGCCATTTTGAACAAGAAAACTGAAAGACAGACTGACAGAAACAATGAGTAAGAAAAGAAAGAAGTAGGATCAACTCAGGGCATCATTAAACCACCAGCATGTCAACATAAACAACATCTCACCAAACTGGAGACAAAACAGCAGCAATCAGCGAAAGTGTGGACACACCGAGGCACAGCACAGGGAACACCAGCACCACTAGTGTGCTGCCCAGCGCCCCTTTGACCACAAAGTTCCAGAAGCGGTTGAAGTGACGAGTGAGACTTTTGCCCAGGAAACCTTAGAGAAACAAACAAACAACAACGGACCATGAAGTCAAGTTTAGTTTAGTGTTAGTAAGAGTTTTACAGCACTTGCAACACAATAAGGTCATATAAATGCTGAAGATTAGAGGTGATACAAGAGAGTAACAAACACAAAAAAGAAGGAGGAGAGATAAAGACGATAGAATGTTTGATAGGAAAGGAGAAGCAAACCACACCAGAGCACCCGCCAACCACCCACTTGAAGTCAAGAAATAAATCAGTGAGTGGTAAAACTAAAAAAAGAAGGGACAATTTATCTCGTATATATGATGAAAATAGTAATGAACACAACAATAATTATGACTGCCACTATTATTATGACTGCTAGTACAAAGATGACAATGTAAGTAATAATTATGATGATTATCACAGAAATAAAGATGATGCAATAATACAGATAAGAATAATAATCATGACCACATTTACAAAGTTGAAAAAGAAAATAATAACTATGATGAATACAAAGTAAACAAATAAAATGCAATGATGGAGATAATGATAATGATAATGATGACATTCACAAAAACAAAGGAAACAGTAATGACAAAGACCACAAAGAGTTGATAATGGCAAAAACAAAGATGACGACAATTATGACAACATAAACAACGGCATGTTTTTCATGACAATGATGAAGTAACCAACAGTGACACTCAAAGTACTGTAAAGTAACTCTTACAGTCCAGAGTCGTGCAGAAAGCAGTACATACCTCGATCTGGAGCTGCTTCAAAGTCAGCCCGGGACCTCCTGACATGGGCCCACAATGCCCTCAGTCGGCTCAACAACGTGTGGGTGCGTGACGACTCCCTTGGATACAGAGCACCCTGAGCAGAAACATTTGTTTTGGTCAGAGTTTTACAGCACTTGCAGCACAATTAAGTCATATGAGAGCTGAAGATTAGAGGTGTTACAAGAGAGTAGAAAAACACAAAAAGAGAAGGAGGAGAGATAATGATGGTAGATGTTTGATAGGAAAGAAGGAGCAAATCATACAAGAGCCCCGCCAAGCACTCATGAACAGAAACATGGACAATGATGCATTTCTGAGGCATACACACACACATACTACTTACATATCGATGCCCTAAAGCACAAACTTTTGACTCTGAATTTCCCTCTTATGATGCTTCTACCCTTTAAACAGCCAGGACATCCTATTTCACAACATGTCCATTTATACACCAGCCATCAAACTAATATAAATGTGCCAAATAGTCATGAGATCAAAACTTTATGTCTCGCTGCCAGTGATGAAAAAATGATTTTCTTCCTACTCCTGTAAAGAGCGTAAGTCTGTACTTGGATCATTTGTGGCCGAGGCCAATGATATACGCATACATACACACATACACACACAAAGTCAGACAGACAGACAGACTCACATCTCTCTGCGACAGCTGTTTGTCCGGCACAAAAGAGGATGGCCACACCAAAGCCCTGAGGCTGACCGGACTGGCCCAAGGGATAACAATCTGGGGATACAGTGAGGAAAAAACGTCCACACAAACACACAAACGATACTCCAGAAAACATAACTACAGAAAAGACAGTAATAATTTTAATGTTTGCACCAAACTAAAACAATTTAGAATGTCCAGAGATGGGCCTTTTCAACCCTGCCTGTCACAACAAACCTAGGCTGAGTAGGATAAAACATCCCAGCAGACAGATGGCACATTTTCCACTCAAGAATCAAATAAATCTTTTGCATACAGCACTATCTATTTTGGTATGATATACTGTGTGATTGAGGTCCACAGCTCAATAGGAGCACCAACATCTGCAGCAAAGTAATGAGACTCTTCACTTTACACTTAAAAGGCCCAAGTTCATTTTCCATGTTGGAAAGACATTTTATTGAACACTGCAGTTTTTCTGCTCGGAAGCTCATTCCTAAAAACAACAGGATGGCTCTCACTGGCAGGGTTAAAACACTTACCTCATACATGATCAAAACGGTATTGATGGGAATGTAATACATTTACATTCATTTTAAAATCAGAGCGGTAGATGTGTCTGAGATGTTAGTCAAGAAAGAAAACTGGTTTAAAAATATTTTTTTCTCTGGAAAATTTTCAACAGCAAAACTACCAACACCACCAACAACAATAGCTATACAACAACAACTACAATAAAAACTACAACAACAGCAACAGTGCCTCTCTCACCCCAAAGAAAAACATAACGTTCCAAGTCCATGCCCAGGCTCTGTGCAGGAAGTTCCACCAGCGCCAGAACGGGTAGCGGGTGCTCGTCACCCAGGCCTTTGTCTTCTGCACCGTGAAGCAAGTGTCCTGAATGCACACATACAGACAGTTTAAAGTTTCTGAACAGAGAAGCACACTGATACAATAATTCCCATAAAGTTCAGAGGTTTCCGGCTAAAAGCATGCACCTTATGTGACAAGAAAAGCATGCTCATATATGCAAATGTGCCATTAAGCAAATTTTGAAGGGGAATAGTCTAAAGTAAGAGAAAAACAGAAAATTGATACAAGAACGGTCTTTCAGTGTTAGGAAAAAGCCACATAGATAGACAGAAAGAGAGGGAGAATAAAGACACAGGGCTAACTACTTTCTAACCAACAACAGTGACTAAATGACATATACTGTAATTTCAAAGTGTCCACATCACTACATATTAACACTTTGCAATCACAGAGCCAGAAGTAAAAAATACCCCATCTGGTTACCCAGCCAGGAGGGTAACTGCAATAGACTTCTCTGGCCAGGTGCTGAACTGCGCCAGGTGACCAGAATGGATAATTTTCCACGTCGCATTATTGCACCAAGTCACCACAAAGTGTTACGGTAATAAGATCGCTGATCTTTTCACAACTTCAGTTCCAATCCTCTCTTCCGCCAAAAAGATGTAACCAAAGCTTGATGACATCAAAGAACCAAAAGACAATTCATTGTCTTACTTCCCGTCCCCAAAGGTAACTCAGAATTTTAATCAGAACCATCTATTTCCAAAAACCTTTTCCAGGAATCACAAAATTCCATGCCCGGCAATGACCTTGGCTCTTCTTTCGAACTCAGCGGGCTGCAGCATACATTAATACAAGCAGACACATAGAAGGCCCACAGCTGTATAGCCTACAACTCACCAGGTCTTTTGGACTTGTGTCCGCTGGCTCTTCAGCACGAATAACTGTGGGAATGACCTCCGACCTGCCCAAGAAGTTCAAGCGTGTGATGACCCAATTCTTAGGAAGCCAAATACGAGTGGAGAAGGTGAACTCTCGTGTGGGGATCTTCACTCTGCCCAGCTCCTTTCTCAGCACTGCCTCACGCTGTCAATGACACAGACAAACATTAGAGTCACATTCATCTATTATAGAACCCAACCGATTAAGTCATTTTTTTTCAAGTTTCTAGATGTTGATATAAACAAAAGTCCTGTTACTTAATAAGCGTCCTCAATTTAGCAGGGTTTTGTTTCATGTACTAAATATCTAATTATAGAGATGTTTTCACTTTTGTTCAGGTCATCAGGTTGACTTAAGTATGCACTTGCTTTTTAAGTATTCTCATGACAACAAAAATTGGCACAAGCAATTGCGCTATGGTCATGAGGATAAGCTCATGGCTAACCCTACAGTCTTCACCTGTACCACGACCAACGTTCAGTTTGGACAGATCCATTTGCCAGATTTACTGTATGCACATAATGCTCCCATTGACACAAGTTAACCCATTCAGGAGGTGGGCTGATTTGACTCATCTAGTCAACATAGCAGTCTGCACCATTGTCCTGTAAGGTATTAACACATATAACAGTACGCCTTCTTTGTCTGGTAGGGTGTTAAATTTCCCAAAAAAACATTTTAACAAACAAAATTTGTAACTCATTTAAATTTAGTTGTTTGATAGAACATCTCTTTCAGCTTCTAGACACTGTGTCAACCAACATCACAAAGGGGCAGAACAAGACAGACCATGACTCAACAGTTTTAGACAATCAATCACCTACACAAAACTGTTGGTTAAAAGCATTGCAACCCCAAAGAACAGGACTTCAAAAATGACTCATTAGGAATTCAAACAACAGTCACTCACATCATGGTCAAGAATGATATTAATTAAGCAACTGACTTAACTGCATGCCCTTTGTATGAAATAGGGCGTTAAACTTAAGCAAAAATAAAACATTTGAAGAAACAAAGTACATACCTCCTTAATAAAGTTGAGGTCTCTCCGCAGGAAGTAGACGGACTGATGCAGCTGTTCCTCCTCACACATAGAGATGGCCGCCTCGTGGGCCGTCCACAGATGCTGGCGGGCAAAGTCACGCTGGCCGGGGAAAACAACACACACACATTAGATTTTGTAGAATTCAAGAGTATCCCATCATCATGACAAGTCGTCTCTGTGTTGGGAAATAGTAAGACAGGCTGACAGAAACAAAAACAATAAAGAAGTAAGACCTGCAAGTGGACCCTTTTGGCAACCTGCATAAGAAGAAAATCAATCAAACTACTTGAGCACAGTTTAAAATTAGGGTCATAGTTTGGGTTAGGGTCAGGATCACAATCCAGGAAAGTTCAGGACAGGAAAAGAAAAGGTGGAAGCATCTTTGACCAAAAAGAAAAAAAAAATAATTAAGAATACAAACATAACTCCCTCAATAATGAAAACAAATGACAAGATATGATCAATAGGCGGTTTGTTAATGGAATTGTTCATGAAAATGCATACAGGGACGCTGTGAATCTATTTACAAATTGGTGTGATAACCACTTCCTTATACTAATCGTAAAAAAGACAAAGGAATTAATAATAGACTTTAGAGTAAAAAAAGACCAATTGCAACCACTATTTATTAAAGATGAAGAGGTGAAGGTGGTAAGCTCTTACAAGTATCTTGGTGTAACAATCGACCACAAACTTGACTGGCATCCCCACGCTGCTCTTGTGCATAAAAGAGTAAATCAAGGAATGTTTCTCTTAAGGAAATTAAGAAGTTTCCGTGTTGACAATAAGATTATGTTCCTTTTTTACCATTCTATGATTGAAAGTGTGCTATTATTTTGTATTTGTTGCTGGGGTGGGAATTGTAAGGTAAAAGATAAAGAAAAATTTGATAGAACCATTAAGAAAGCCAGCAAGATCTTTGGATATGATTTTATAAGAATGGATGAAATGTATAACACCACACGTATAAAAAAGATAAAAAGCATTATAAACGACCCATCACACCCCTTTTCCACACAAATTGTAAGATCACGCAGCGGCAGATATGTACCTCCAAAAACAAAGAAAGAAAGGTATAAAAGAAGTTTTTTACCATCTAGCATAAGGCTTTTGTCAGAATGAGCATAGATGTGTGTTGCTCTTAGAGAATGTATCTGTATATAACTCCAAAGGTCTAGTATTTAAATTCCTGCATGTGGTTGAGTGATGCATTTGACGTAAATGTACATTTTGTCAGCTTTACTTCTCCTTTCATATTGAATTTTTAAAAATTTTTAATGTATACCTGCATGTGTTTTTACGGTCCTGTACAGCCAAGGAAAATTTCCCTTTGGGATAATAAAGTATTATCTTATGTATCTTATATTATCTTATCTTAATTGGTAACCTCCAAACACACAAAAGGAAAGAAAATGCTTCAGTTCCCAAGGCAAAAAGAGCAGCCACCAATTCATCAAAACCCTCAGGAGAACATCTCTGAATTCTTTATTTAAATATTTCCAAATGATGAGAAAAGTAAAAAACATCTCAAAACCCTAACCTACTCCAAAATATAATTATTTTCCAGCTTTGGCAACATTTTTTTCAAAGTAAAGAGCAGCAATGATCTATCACCACAGTAAAGATGGTGCTGTGTAAAAACAAGCAGACAGAAACAACAGAAGGACGGTGAAAAGAAAGCAAATTTTACCACTGGCAGCCTCCAAACACTTGAGGAAAGATCTGAATTGTGATCCTCCACAAGGTCTAATGAGTTTGAACATCTCCTGGATATACATACACAGACACAATCAGCAGCAGAGTTTTTCCAGCAGAATTGCTAAACTATAAATGCCAGAAAGAACAGAACATCTCACAGCAAATCGACTGCTTAAAGAAAGAATCCGCTATACCCCATTATGAAAAGTGATATCAGACTGAATCCTACACTAAGCAGTTGCAATGGCCAAACACAACATACCTCAAAGGCACACAGCTGTTCTTCCATCCATGTGCTGATTCGAGATTTAATTGGATGTGTTTTACGCAAGTGGGCAGTCAGCTGGAAAAGAAATGTGGAAACCACACTGACAATATTCAGTCAACTTTATGAACATGACAAAAATGTACCACTGTGAAAACTTAGCACAATGCTTCCAAGATATTAACTTATGGGCCTGAATTCACACAAAGATATATCATACGTTAAACTGGACCTACCAAGACATCAGGCAGCATGAGTGATCTCCACCTCTCTTTTTCACATCTACTGTTGTTATTTGTCATAAATTTTCTACACACCTGTAACACAAATTAGATCATTAGCAGGCAGGCTGCTTCAACCCCACCTGCCCTGGCCACTCCAGGAACTGTGGGATGTGCCCCAGAAGCAAAATAGAGATATTTGATTTTAAAAAATTTCTATGTTGGAAACAAACTCAGGTCTTTCAGATGAAAGGTGAACATCCTTACCACGACACTGCACATGTCAGTCATCATGTCCATAAAATTCCCTACCATTACTTAACCCTTTCAATGCATCATTCTCCCACTATCAACTTAACCCTTTGACAGCAATGTTTGTTCATTGTCCAAATGACCCTCACAATACAATATCTGTTAACTAATCACATTATAACTAATGAAACATTTGTTCACTCTTTGCTTGATTGTTGTGAGGAAGTCAACTGGTCACTTAAGCCTTTCAATGCAGCATCCTCCAACCTGCTGTTTCCTCTAACATGTTTCCTGGAACTTAGCAAATAGTTCCTAAACATATAAGTACCTCATAAACAAGGAACATAGGCCGCCCCACTAGGAATATCAAATTACGATCGAGGACTTCCAAAATTGAAGGAAATTTCTCAAATCATGAGCATCCTTCTCATAAAAACATGCAGCATGTTGTGGAACTCCTGACCTGATCTTTGTGCTGCTCCATTTTCTGCTGGAGGCTAGCCTGAGCCTTGACCATCACCAGAACTGCTTTAGCCTGGTCCACCAAGACTTGACCTGTAAGAGGGAGGTCATCATTGTCACAGGTAATGGACCTCAGAGGTTACCAATGTCAAGGTCACAAACACAGAAATGAAAAGAGACATAAAGAGAGCGAGAGAGAGCTGGAGTAAGAACTGAAACAAGGAAGGCTACCTTTTTCGCACAATTAATTCAAATCATCCATGATTTTTTGAGTTTTCATGGAATTGTGTCAAAATGGCAACTTTTGCCCCTCCATGAAGGAAAATACCGGCAGGCCTCGACTGCATCAAATGAATTAATTGGGCAGTCAACTACATTCATAACAAGAGAAATCCATTCACATGATTATCATTAAGTGGGATACAACTTCCTAGTGAACCAATGGAAGTACTTAGAAAAATGACATTCCTGCCAAGGAATCAAATTCATGTCTTCTGCATGCAATGACAAACAACCTTTACATCACAGGTGCCAATCATGAGCTTTGAGATAGAGAGCTGGTATGGGGTAAGTTTAGTGCACCTTTCTGGTCTCATCACAGCCGGTTCAGACCTTTGATTTAATGCCCATCTCTGACAAGACCAAAGTCAGTTGACGGCGCAAGTCATGAAATCACCTTAAATCTTCAAAGTTTTTATATGTCTTATTGGCATTTGAAGCATGACTGCTGCGTGGCAGGCACTGACTTTTGTGTCTGCTGAGCACCAGTGAAAACTTACCCAGTCCAGGCTGCAGAACGTCCAGTTCAGCATTGGTAGCCACAGCAGTGAACACTTTGTCCAGATAATGGTTCATGATGTCTTCACTGACATGCTGAAACAAAACAGCACAACCAACTGAATGCAACACAACAGAAAACACAGCAAATGACTAATTCGAGGTAAAGAGGCACACATCCATGTTATAATGCCATTTAATAGTGAAAAAACTATTCCAAGATAGAAAGACAAATAGAAATAAAACTATTTGAAAACATAATTTTCCAATCAGTGTCTTACAACCATAAATAGAACTTCTTACAACAAAATCTTTCATAAAAATGTAGGCAGCGTAAGACTTATCGAGGGGTTTGTGCCCAAGTACTCCTCAGATACAACACATCTGCTTGCTATGGCTATTCTTTAGTTCTACTGGACTCTCACCTTGGAAATTTCTTCATTGGACATTCCTTGACCTGAGACCAAAAAAATGTGAAATAAATAGGATCAGTAGAAAATGCAGATTTTTAAAACCACGACAACAATGTTTGAGCCCATTCTAAACAATCATTTCAGCTAACACTGCTCTGGGTGTAATATGAAAGAAGGTGTCAACACACTCAACAAAAATTAAATATTATGCTGATATATGTAAACCAGTATTTTATCTTGTGAGGTTATACTTTACTATAGACAAAAAAATATGCCAACATACACATCTGACAGCTGTTTGTAAACTGAGAAAAAGAAGCTGTAGTCCCTGCACATTAAATCTAAACAATGACAGAAATATTAAAACTTACGTTCAACAGCTGATATCGAATTTCACTCAGTACCATCATTTCATATGAATAAAAGAGAATCTATTCATCATTCATGGAAAAGGGGGAAAAAGACAGCACATCAAAACTTTCAAATTTTAAGGCATTTCTGCAGCTTGAGTCTCAGCAGTTTTCGCCTCATGCAGAACGGACACACCATGAACAACATTTGACTATGACTTATAAGTGAGTCACCCATAACAACCATATTTTACAGATGAGTTAATCAGTCTCCATGATTTACATGTAAATTTATATCATAATCACACCCATTTCTCCCACTCCTTCCCTCTGGTCCCCCTTCGCACATGGAACACTCATCGTCTCAAACTGCCAAAAAAAACAAAGGACATAGGAACACAATTCCTATGCAAGTCAGTCATTATCAGTGTGCTTACATACACATTTACATACATTTACATGCATGCGCACACACACACAAACAAACATACATACACACACACACACACACACACACACACACACACACACACACATCATCATCATCATCATCATCCAGTGCCAGATCTGCGACAGACATCGGCGATCATGATTTTCCATTCATTCCTTTGCTCGGATGCTCTCAGAAAAGCTACGTTTCCCTGATCTTTTCCTGTTACCCATTTGTTCAGGTTCCCTAAGTATGTTTTTCTGGGCCTACCCCTGCCTCGCTTGCCCTCAATTTTGCCAGTGAGAGCTAGATGTTCAAGACCCATATGTCTATTCAGGTGTACCAAAAACTGCATTTGTCGTTTCCTGATTGTTTTTAACATTGAGCGTCCCACGTGGGCTTCATCAAGCACTACCTCATTTGATTTCTTTTCCTTCCACGATACTCTTAGCAGTCTCCTAAAAAACATACACATGCACAATCATAAACAGCCATTTGCAAGTGAATCAATCATCACCCCAGCCTTCCCAAAGATACAGAATAGAACTGTATCCCCAATGGCCTATCACTGACCTTGGTAGTGACGTATGAGCTTTGCTCTCATCTGTACGTGCCAGCCTTTGGCCTGACGATCAAGGATGTTGGACAGGATACCCATGCTGTTGTTCATCAGGTCTGACACACAATAGGAATTTCATTTGAGTGTGACCTTCATCAATGATATGGTTATGCAATGGCAAAGACATATAAACACGTGCACGCACGCACACAGACACATCATAACTACTATGAACACACTCTTTTCATTGCAAAATTATAGATGATACATATGTGACAAAATGGTTTAAACATGAATCTCAGCTTGTGTAGACCAAGGACACGTTCAGCTGCCATGAAGTGAGATGTAGGAAAAAGTGAATTGTTCCATTAATAATAATAATAAATTGCATTTATATAGCGCATTTCCACAAAGAAGTGCTCAATGCGCTGTACAATAATACAAAGAACATATGAAGCGCACAGCTCCTATAGTAATCCTCTTTCTCTCTCTCTCCATTCTTTAGGGAACCTTCTTTGGTACAAGGATCATGGACCTGAGTTCTATATCATGCAATTGGTGAAAAAGGTACTAATAAACATTGCACTTTGTTTTTTAATGTTGTCAGAATTTCTTAATATTATTCTGTTTCAGGGCCTTTAGGTTAAAAAAAATTACAGCTAGCATTATTAAAATGGGATTATTATTATTATCATGTTATCATCATTATAATAATTACTAGTATCATAATTGTAATCATCATCATCATTATTGCATTTTCATTACCTTTGTTGAAGAGACGAAGGTCAATGTCTTGACCCTTTGGGGTCTGGTACCTGTAGGGAATGGGTGGGGGTCTCAGGTCTGTAGTCTGGACAAGAGACAAAAACAAAATCAGTCCACTACAGATCAGGCAGCCATGGGTCATGGTCAGTTGGTTTGTTGGAATAAATAGAGGCACATCGACATAATAACTGTCAAATAGTGCCCACAAAAACGAGGACAGACGGGCAGGATCAGTTGAGTGAAAGAATAGAAGTAGGCCCCACCTGGAGCAACTCCAAACAAGAGCTGTACCCCGGTAGCAGACCCGTTCATGCTTTCAAGCCCCTAGTTCAAGTCACAAGCCTCAAATCACTAGGGAAAATCATCAAATCAAATCACCAGCATGATAAGTTGAGTCTAGCCTAAGCTTCAAGTTAACACCAACTAGCAATCCACGAAGCCACTCGTGTCAGACCCCCTCATCCTGCCCACCCTGCTTGCAATCTGCGAAGCCACATACGTCAGAAAAAGAGAGAGCGGCGTAGCGCTGGAGTCTGTTCGATTAATCAAGGCTTACGAGCAGCGGACGGCCGTCAAGTCTCAAATCTCGCTCACAGCATAGCAAGTCCCGTTATTTGCTTTGCATCCCATTGTCTTCTTTGTGAAAAGAGACTTGCTCACAGCCGGGCAAGTCTCTCGGCTCCCATGATTTGCTTTGGCTCCCAGGACCAGCTCGCAACCTGGCAAGCCACTTGGCTGATTTGCTGCAGCAGCGAACAGCAAGACCTCTCGCAGTGCGAACTCTGAACCCTGGTACAAGACGTAGAGAGCCGAAGCTATTTTTAAACTTCACGCCGTTGATCAGCTGAGTGAGAGGAAGCGTGGTATTGTAGTAACAGAGACCTAGGTTTCTGGTACTAATAAGTGGACTTAGACTACCCTAGAATGGAACACTCCAGGGGTCGTTGTGATGGGCTTTTGTATCGTAGGTATGTAACCTATTTTGTAGATGTTTTACACTCACAGTGACATAAAACAGAACATTCAAGAGACGGGCTAGACTATTTGGACCCAATGTCAGGGCCAACCTGGGCTGAGAGGGAACAACGCCCCAGCAGAAAGACGAAGGTTCTCGGTAAAAATTTCTCCCCATACGAGAATCGAACTGAGGTCTTTTGCATGCAACGACAAAGCGCTTGGCCTGTGCACATTATAAGCAAACGGGCCTTTGCATCATAAGAATAGCAGATCCATTATTAATTTTTAAGTACATTGAATAGAGCTTTTTATTTTTTACACCCCGACTATGGAAAAAAACAATCTTGCACTTTTGAAGCAAACCTGTCAACGTAAATAACCAGAATCTTCTGCAATATGTACTGAGTCCACAGCCACGAGAGTTCACAATGTCACGACACAATACAGCAAGACTGTCCGCGAGTCACAACTCACTGGAAGTTCCCCCCAGTAGCGAGCGGGAGGCAAAGCAAAGCACAAACCTGCTCGCAAACCTCTAGCGCAAGCCGTCCGCTGCTCGCAGACTCCAGCTCTACTCCAAACACCTGTCATTGGCCAGGAACATAACAACACCTTGACAGTATTTCATAAAACAGATAAGACAATACAAGACAAGATAATTTATGACATGATCAGATATGACTGTGACAATCATTCTTCTTTCCACCTGCAGTGACAGTCGCTGGGACAATGTCTTTCCTTCCAGTCCCAAGCAAGCAAAGTCATCTACATGTACAAGCAGGTTCTCCAGAATAAGTCACTCGTTCTTAAGCAATAAATTGTAGTATTTTGCACAGGTATCAGCGACTGTGACATGTAAGTCCCCATGCTGAAGATAGCAATCTTTCAGAGAAGCTTTCTCGTCACAGTAGCTATCATGTCTCAGTACATATCACCCCCCCCCCCCCCCCCCGAAAAAAAAAGGTAACATTAACTGCTAAACAGAAATTATAGATTAAGAATAGTTCACTTTCTGGAATACCTGAAAATTCTTGAGAAGCTAACTCATATCTCACCTTGTGTTTGTTCGCTCCCAGCATCTGACACTGATCCTTCACATACTCACAGTACGTGCTCAGCTCTCGCTTCAGACTCGGCTGTGAAAACAATGGAGTACAACAGACAACACTGGAATTAATGTGAATACCCTTATGTTACTATTTAGCAGCAGCAGTAGTAGTAGCAGTAGTAGTATGTTTTATCATTATCAACATAATTATTATAATTTCTATTATTATTCTTATCATTGTTTTTATACCTTATCATAGTCTTCAAAATCAACAATATCATTATGATCATTATTATCTATTCACATACTTTTTCTTTCACTACAATGAAAGCACATTCACATAGAACAATCATTTTGTGGTTGATAAATGAAAAGGATAAACAGAGGGACACAATTTGGATTAATGAAAAGGATAGACAGAGGGAAACAATAACGGCAATATTGGTATAGAAAATAAGTATGGTGCCCTCTAAGCACCTAATCATGTCATTTTACAAGGCTGCAAAATTTACTTACCAACATTTTTACCATAAGAATAAACTTGCACAGGGATTTGCAAGCCTTGACAAAATAGGCGTTTTACTGCAGTCTCCTGTGACATGAAACCCCTGGCCTGTCATGGACACCTCTACTCAGCAATAAAAACCCTTATTGAGCCATGGAAACCATTGGTGAGTCACAGAAACCCTAAGTGTGTCGCAGAAACCCTCAGAACCTCATGAAAACGGATGGAAATGAAAACCCATTGTGTGTCATGGAAACAGATGGAAACAGAAACTCTTTGTGTGTCCCGAAAACCCTTGGCATGTCACGGAAACCCATAGTATGTCCATTAGACTGTGTGCTACCCTATTTGATCTTCTGTGTTCCTCATGGAATTGTGTAACTAAAATACAAACAAAATTCAGGATCCAAGAATATTATCATCATTTTGTTGCTATTGTTGCTGTGTGCATTTGGTGGCTGATTTGGGGTAGGTTTTTTGTTTTGTTTTTGTTATTTGTTTTTTTGAGAGACCCTCTCAGAACAAATAGAACAGCCAACATCAAGAACCTCGGGGGGCCTTAAGAATTCTGTCCTCACCTTAATGTCCAGTTCAGCCACGAGGTAACGCATACGTTCCAACTGCAGCTTTTGGTGAAGGTCGCCAGGCGTTGTTGAAGGCATGCCAATCACAATGTCTGACAAAAAAAACAAAGCATGTCAGACAACAAAAAATGTTATTGTACAAGTTTTTACACCCACATTGACCCAATTTACTTCATTTATGAGGCAGGCTACTTAAACCCTGCCTTTGAGGGCCAACCCAGTCTGAGAATGATACAACATTCATGGAGACAGATAAAAATACTCAATAAAATCATGGCAAAAAAGCCTACCCGCTACACCACAGACGCCAGGTTAGACAAATGTGGCATGCAGTTATACTCAAATAAAAGTCAGAATGTCAGGTAGAAGTAGCATTAAAAAAACAAATAACTTACTCTTTGATGGTCAGCACAAAAAACCTCAGTAAAGACAGAAATATACAACAGTTACTTTGAGAGCACACTGTTTTTTAAGGTGTTTTTAAAAAATAAATTTTAGTAAGTGTTTTACAGCGCTTGCATCACAATAAGGTCATATAAGTGCCGAAGATTAGAGGTGTTACAGGAGAGTAACAAACACAAAAAAGAAGGAAGGGAGATTTATGAAGAAGAAAGATGTTTGAAAGGAAAGAAGAAGCAAACCCCACCAGAGCACCCGCCAAGCACCCACTTTTAACGTGTGATCCCACAGGAGCTGACAAACAATCACAAAAGAAAAGGCAACAGTATAGATCCCCACAGGAAGATTTGTTTTTCAATGATCTTCACAACAGTTCCCATCACAAACTGAAATGGGGGGACAGCATTGCTTCTGCAGCCCCTTGTTTTTTTTGCTAAGGTGAACATTTCTCCCTCCACAACACAGCTCACTGACTGCCTACCACCTACCAATAAGCTATATCACAGACATAGACTTAACATTAAGCATAAGCATATGCTCAAGAATCAAACAGCTTGTCAGAAAGATAAAAGAGGCACTGCTCCAGCACCAACTTGGATTCTTTCAGGAATTTTCATTGCTCTCCACCCTCTAGACTCAGTCCTAACAAATATGGGTAATCAAATCTTGTCTTTTTAATAACCTTACAATGCTTATACCAGCATTAAATTCATCCCATACGTAATCTACACTCAACTCTGTTTTAGTTTTAGTAAAAGTTTTACGGCACTTACGACACAATGAGGTCATATAAGTGCCGAAGAATAGATGTGTTACAAGGGAGTGATATACACAAAAAAAAAGGAGAGATAAGGACGATAGATGTTTGATAGGAAAGAAGGAGCAAACCACACCGGAGTACCCGCCAACCACCCACTCACTCAACTCAAAGATATAAGTCAGACCTAACAAAGAAGATAAAAACTATGCAGACCTGAACCCACGACATCTCAAACAGAGGTTGAAAACATTGGCCCATTGTGTAAAGAATTCCATCATCAACAGTTTAAGAAAGCACAGACTGAAGTTGGCGACACTTAACCCAAAAAGCCTTACCAAGCAAATTCCGCAAACCATTGGCCCAACCCCGTGCAGCCTCAGTGACGCTGAAGAATCCCGAGCAGAACCTGTTGCGGGCGGTGATGATGAGCAGCGAGAGAGCTTTCGACATGTCCTGAGGGAAAAGGCACAAGAAACCTGTGTAACTGAAGCTGTTGTTGAATCAAATTACAATGCACTAATTTTTATAACTTTGTTGACTTAGAAGGCACACTGCTTCAACCCTGTCATTCAGGGCCAAAGTGAGCTGCATGAGATACAGCACATCAAAACATGGAAATACTTGACAAAATACACATTTTCCACCTTGACTCAAAGTTAAGTTTTTTTTGCATTCCAAGAAAAAAAAAAACACAAAAAGAGACAAGTGAAGAAACAAACAGTGAAAATGTGGCAACTGTAAGAAACCAGTTCTTACAAGGATTTGGCTTTCCATGTTTGATGGGACCTATCACATCTCATTTGAATCAAAAGAAAAGTTTTCAATAAAGCTAAATGAAACCAAAGCGAGCATACTATATTTTGAAATCAAGTAGTAAAATTTCTAGTCATTCAGTAGCTGTGCATAGAAGTATATTTGATAGGAAACAATGTCACCTTTGCTACATATCCACTGAATATAGTAATGATGGGTTGTATTCCTTGTATGGGGTTAACATCCCCTGTCGTATAACTATAAATAATTTACATAGATTAATACAGATATTTACACATACATACGCATACTCTCTCTCACACAAAAGTGTAATGCATGTATATCCTTGGCAAACACTAACTTTAAAGTGTGAATACCAATTGGTAATAGAGCAAAGCAGAAAAAAAAACCCCAAAAAACCAACAACTTGAGAAATCCCATGAAATAAGAATTAAATTTGAACCAAAGAATTCAAAGCCAGAATCTAAATTTGAACGTAGCTGAGACCTCTCTGAGAGATTTATGGTGAAAGGGGAATGAGTTCACTTACTGCCAGGAAGGACTTGTTTGTCCTCTCTGAACCCTTCTGCAGCAACATACTGAGTCTCCAGCGGTGTGTCTGTCCGGGGAAGTTCAAGCTGGCCACATCAAACTCACTGAAACAAATACATACACAATTGTTTGTTTGTTTGTATTTAGGAGTCAGCCAAGCCTGGCACAACAGTAATGATCTGTACTAACATAATCAGAGTAATAATATTAGATAACATTCGTATAGCATAAACTGCTGCTCAACAACAAGCTATTAGCACTTTACAATCTATATTATTACCCCAGCAGACCGGATAGCATTCTGTAACAATCACAACTTCCTGGGAAGCATAGAGTGCAAGCTATCATTTTACAGGCACTAAAACACTGACATACTGACAAGATCTTTCACCGTCTTTGGCCGGGTATCCATTCACATTAGCATCACACACTGACAAGGCCACTGTCATACTGACACAGCCACGATGACACACTAACACACAATCATGGTGATATACTGACACAGTAATGGTCATACACTGACACAGCAGTGTCGCACAGTGACAGTCATGATCATATGTTCCCACAATCATGGAGGATGTATCCTTACTCAGCCATGGTCATATCTTAGCTGTCACGGTCATTTACTGATTTTATCTTCCAAGTCAAAGAGAAACAAACTGGTACCAGACAAATCAGCATGGATGGCAATAAGTCTACAACCATGTTTGACAATATGTCTACAACCATGTTTGAAGGCCTAACAAAAGATACCAAGCTGCATGTTCTTCTCAGGAGGGAAATGGCAAATTATTGTTTTAGTAGAGGTTTTACGGCGCTCGCAACTGCATAAGGTCATATGAGCACCGAGGGGTGGATGTCAACAGAGAAGTCCTTATAGGGAATCAGACTTACTCTGCTCACCTCTCTAGCTTCAACAGCACAAAGTCTGCTTTGACTATCAAGGCACCTGGAAATAACGGGTCACAAGAGTGTGACAAACATGCAAAAGAAGTAGAGAAAATGACGATAGTAAGGAATAGGAAAAAAAAAGCAGCAGTTCCCTGTTGTAGTTCAGGCACAGTTATGAGCATGACATTGTTGGATCAGCCCATTTACAATTCTACTGTGCATTAGAATGAGAAATGTCCCCCTTTAGGAATGGCCTAAAGACACTTCAGTCAATGGCACCGCCCCGGGGGGGGGGAAATGGCAAATTAGAATGAAATGGGTGGCAAAGGGGATGAGCCTATTAAATACTTCTGTAACTTTCACTTTCACCCGGTTCTGCATTCATGAAAAGCCTGAGCTTTACCCTTTGTCTTGTATCATTTTGAGCTGTTCCTTGTCCAGTTTCTTTAGTGAGCCATCAGTCCCAGTCGCCACTGCCTCCAGCTCATCAAATATTGGGGCTATAAATAGATCCCGGAACTGCACCACACCCTGTGAACAATACATACATATTTAAAGGAAAGATTTTGGACAAGTGCAGCCTGCAAAACACCACTGAGACAAAGAAATTTTTTGGTAAGTCAGATCATTATGCTGCACTTAGAACATATTTTTCTTTATCTGCCCTCTGAAAAGCGTAGAACATTTTTCAAGAAAACATTGCTTATAAGGGTCACCTGAGAAGATGTGTAAATTTTTAAACAATGACTTTAAAGGACAGGATGTTTATTATCATTTATTATTATGCAAAAAAAAAGTCAACGAAAAAAATAACACGCTTATATTAAAAATTGGGTTAAAATATGCACAGCTGTAATGCATGTATTATAAACAAATCAATTCAAACTTTCGTCAACGTAATATACCAAAAAATGTCAGGCCAATTACTCATCGTCAAAATGCAGAGTCCTTTTATTTTAAGATAGCGTAGTCATATCACTACCTATCTAAAAAAAGTGTCATTGACTTCATTTGCCATTGTTTGTGAGATAAAGCCCACGGACCACTTGACCACTGAGTTTGCTACAGGCCAAAATGAAGAAGGGGAAGACAATATCAGGTGTGTAGCTAAATAAATTCAATTTAAAAAAATAAACTCTTTTCAGTATTATATTTACTTAGAAGAAAAGAAAGTATTACTCAGCTGGACTTATCAGTGTACAGAGGAAAATGCTTAAATCTCTCTCTCTCTCTCTCTCTCTCTCTCTCTCTCTCTCTCTCTCTCTCTCTCCCCCCCTCTCTCTCTCTCCTTCCTTACATTACCACCCCTCCCCTGCACCTGCACATATTTTTACCTAAATGCCTCTCAAAACATGTTAATTCTGTCACATATTGATGACATAGGTAACAGCATTACAGCAAACTGATGAAAAAACGACAAAGTAACAATCCTCACAGGGTTCTCTCCGTTGCCACTCAAAGCTTCAGCCGCTCTCCTCTCGGTGATGGAGTCCGGGAGGACGATGGGGAAAGACCTCCAGTGGAACAACACTGACTCTGCCAGCTGGGAAGAAACATAACTTTATCTACAAAAAACTAAATGATGGGATTGGATCGAATGCTACATGTGCGTACATTTGGGAAAATCTGATTTCTTGTGGATATGTAATAGAGTACATTAGGATACATCCTATCTGTACACTGCTTTTCATCCATGCAGATTCTGCTGTAGCATGCAGTTCTCGAACACAGTGGCAGTCAGCAATGAGAGGGGTTCCAGGAGGAAAGATATACGCAAATGATTGTAATGATGGAGATTGTCATGATTGAGATTGTAATGATTGTATGTTTCATGTCCCAATCAACACATAGGGAAGCCAGCAACACTTCAATCTTGTCTGCTGGTTAGCACTGACAGGACTAAATACTGGGAAAGTATGAGAGACAAACAAACAGAGGGTTTCTCACCTGTTTGATAGAGCTGACAACCTTGGCAGCATCTGGTGACAGACTGTCTTCATCGACGTTGAACTGAAGTGGTTCACTCTGAAACAAAAATGTTATGCCAATTGTGATGACTTGAAAGTGAAGAACAAATTTGGGTTGAATGGTGTCTCCCCTACTATGTAAAGAACATCCTACACCTTTCTATTTGTGCACTTAGTTAGTTCAATGAGTATTTTGCTAGACTGCACAGTCAGTGACCCTGGGCTACATCCACAACATGATGTTTTCTTAAAATATTCCTAAGTTCTCTGCAGAGTTTTCCCTGCCCAATCATTTGATTTGGCAATCTGAGGTGGATGTGAAAATAAGAGCTCTGGCCTCTATAATAACATCATTATTATCATACTGCTCAAACAAGTTGGGTTTTTTTCGTAGCCCTGCCCATTATTGTTGTAATTGTTCTATGTGAGTGCTCCACTGGCTTTGAATCTACAACATACATCTGCAGGTGTGTGACATGTGACTTGATCCACAGAAAGAGTGTGTCTATAAAGCTCAACACAATGCTAACAAGGGTATGCTCTCAGCACAATCTTAACCATGTATCCTTACAGGGGTATTTCTTTACAAATAGCCAGTCTAATGACGCTCACAGGGCTCAGCTGAGTAAAAACATTCAACCAACAACATACATTTTTTCATTACTTGAAAAAAACTCCCACTACATTCAATACATTTAGTTGCACTTTAAAGATCATTGTGATAACACAGAGACTGAGTTACAACTCTCTGTTTGATCTTTCCACTAATGCATCTAATAAACTGCTTACGTTTTCTGAGTTTGTAAACTTGTTCGATCACTGTTGATGACAACCACGACACCTCTAGGAGCTTGACAAGGGTCATAGTTCAATACGATGAACAAAGCCAACACTGGCATGCACAAAAACAAGCATGACATTCTATAAATACGTATTAATACCTTTGGATTTGTGCTTTCACACTGACATTGTTCTTTCTCTCTTTCCTTCTTTCAGCACTAGCATCTATATCATTTAATTTTAAACCTAAAGAGGCAAAAATAATATCACAGCACCTCCAAACAACTTACTCAACCCCCTAGTCTACCATTCATTACGTTTTCGAGTCCCAAAAGGTGAGTACCAAATACCCATAGTCAGACATCAAGAGCACACCATTAAAATGGATGTATATCAAGATTTGCCTCTAATGGCCATCTGAAGACAATCACCTGTACAAACGCCCCCTTCCCTTTTCCTCCCTCCCATTTTTACATCATATTGACACTGCGTTAGAGTATAATGGTCACCTGTCTCATGCTGCCATTTTTTTCCTCAACAATGCATGACCCTCTTATATAGCAATTTATAATTTTAACTGTATACAGAACATATCTCACAGGGCGGTGCCACTAATTGAAGCATCTTAAGGCCATTCCTAAAGGGGGGACATTTCTCGTTCCAATGCACAGTAGAATTGTAAAAGGGTAGATCCCACAAGTGTAATGTCATGCTCATAACTGTGCCTGAACTACAACAGGGAACTGCTGCTTTTTCTTTCCTAAGCCTTACTATAGACATTTATAATCCTCTACTTCTTTTGTATGTTTGTCACACTCTTGTGACCTGCTATTTCCAGGGTGCCTTGATAGTCGAAGCAGACTTAATGCTGTTGAAGCTAGAGAGGTGAGCAGAGTAAGTCTGACTCCCTGTACTAACTTCTCCCATCCCTTGGCGCTCATATGACCTTTTATGCAGTTGCAAGCACCGTAAAACCTCTACTAAAACAAACAAAAATACAGAACATAAAAGAGCTGATAGCATTTGGAATATTAGTCCCTGAAAAGTATACTTCAACAAAAAATATGTCAACCCTCCTTGATAACAAAGCAATGTATAGTATAGCACCTAAGAACACCATTTAGAATTTTTTAAATTATCAATGATGTGAATATTTAAATACATAGATCTATATGTGTACTGCTTTTAAACCAAAAATGTATGAGAATGAGAACATAAAATTATTATTTAACTAGATCTATAAACAAAAAAAAACTAGAGTAAACACCATCACAAACCTCTGGCTGAGAAACATGATCTCTAGATGGCTCAACCCCTCCTGATCTGGGGACCTCTCCCTCCGATGCCATAGTTCAACAAAGGGCTTGGTTCATGTCAGAACAATTCTGCACTATAAACAAAAAACACACCCCCTCCTTCTTTCCATTCTTCAGATACGTTCTTAACAATGTGTCTATTGCAGATTATGACGTCACAGTTTAATAGACTAAGGGAAGCTGGTGGGTGTCTCTGGAGGGTCGGGGAGAGACCGCAACCTGCGTGGAAAAGCCAGAAGAATAATATGTCCAACCAGCTGATAACTGGCACGATAAAAAAAAAATTATGGTAAAATGATATGGGTTTAACGCCCCTATCAACACTAGTAGGTTATTTAAGTGGCGGGACCTCCTAGTTTAACGTCCGTCTCCGAGAGGACCTAGCCAAGTGGGAAGTTCGTGTAAAGTGCCTTTCCCAAGGACACAAGGTCGGACCGCTGGCACGATCAGCAGGCAGACCCTTTCATGGATCCTGGAGAGTAAAGAGGGAAGAGGGGAGAGGGGAGAGGGGAGAGTGGAGAGTG